GTCTCTGCACTACTATTGGTCGCCAATCATTACATCCGCTCTCTTCTCCTATTTCGTTGCCCACTGTTTTCTATCTGTTTATGAAGTAATCATTTGAATAATTGATTACAATATGTGACTAATGATTATCTCATTATAGATGGCAATCGACACACTCTTCTTATGCTTTATAGAGGACTGTCAGCACAACGACGGTGTGGGCAAACCTTATTTCATGGGCAGAGGGCTCATGAGATTCGTTGAGTCCACTCATAAGAGCATCACCGATAAGATCTAAACACCCATTATATAGTCATTTCGTAGAATTTTACATAATTATTGAATTTTATATAAAACTAGTCACTTTTTGATTTATTTCAAATACTTTTATTAAATGGCTTTTATTTAACCTTTTAATATTCTGTAACTAAATTCATAGTAAATACTCATTTGAATTTTGTCATATCGCATAATAGTTGTAGTTATTTGTACATTTTTATATGAATATAACTGTAATAACAAAGCATTTTTATGAAATAAATGCTAATTTTATGCATTTTTATTGATTCTATTCTTTGTTCTTAATTAAACTCAATCGACAAAGAATTTAAAACTAGAAAATACTAGAAAATCGTCTCAAATGCCGATATAAACCTCAACAAACAATATGAAGTGATAAATTCATTTCAATTCCTTTTAACTATTAGTAAAACTTCATAAAAATCAGAGTTCATGTATTGGTTTAAAATTAGAAACGTATCAAAAAGTTTTGCTTTTGCAAAAAAAATTATTTATTTTTTTCGTCGAGATATCTGTTATAAGAATATAAATCCAGACTAATGGTTTAACCAACATTTGGTATTTGTTGTAGATTTATTGTGTACAAATCTATATAAAAATCTTACAAAAAAGTACCAAATGTTCGATAATCCATAAATTTGGATTTACAATGAACGGGTACATTCCCATGACAAATATGTGTTTAACATAGTAAACCTATATTTTTAACCAAAATAAGGATTTATATAGCAAAGTAGAGTGAATTATTAGTTTGGAAAGAGAGAGAGAGAGAGAGA